TTAGTTATTCTTTTGTACTCGAGATAGTAATTATTGTATTATTATATGGATTCTGAGTAGTGTATATGATTTTTTGTGAAATGATGCAGATGTATATATTGTTGTTTTAATTAATAATTTTATTTATGTTGACATTATATTGATAAAGAAATTTGATAGCTCCGGTTGTTGTTTATTAAAAGATAAAAGATTTTTTTTTTTTTTCAATTTAAATTATGTGGCATCACACAACCTGATAAAAGGATCTTTTATGCAGCCATAGGTTGCTTCATATAAGGGTATCTTATAGACTTTGGGTGAATGTTTGCCTAATGGGACAAATTTGAGTCCGCCTTAGTTAATCAAAGGCTTTTTTCTCCTACCGATTATACCCTATTGATTCATTACTCAAGGATTTAGAGCCATTGGAGAACAAATATGCTTTGTCCATGACTGTAATTTAGTGATACCATTTACCTGTGATGTCAATTGGCGGTGAAACCAATAGTTAGAGGATACGTGTCACGTCCTTATTGTTATGAGGGCTTGAAATTGAATTCTAGTGATATTCTCGACTAGACATTCGCTCTTTGTGAACTGAAGTGATTTTCAAACTTATCCATCTCGATAAGCTGTTGCGAAGGGTAGATGAATTTTCGCTTTAAATTATTAAGTGATTTATTTCATCTTGAATATCATAAATTTTAGTGATTTTTTTAGTTTTGAACTTTTATTAAAATCAAAGCTCTTTAACAATAATTTTGAGATTTAGGGGCGTTTAAAAGATAGAGACTCTTCCGATTGATATTAAATTTCAACACGGCCATCATGAAAATTTTATGGGTATTTTCATTCATTAGTTAAACCTTGTCAACTCAATTTTCTTGCCAATAGAGAATCGAGTTCGGCTCCCAATTATTTGAGTTATTGTAGAAATATCAGAACCAAAATATGTATTTTCATATGTGAATTTTCTTCATAGAAGAACTTGAAGATGTAATATGAATGTATAAAATTAATAGTTTTGTTAATTCAACGAGCGCTGGTTCCGAAAGTTTATATTTTTGGTGATGAATTTTTCTTATAAAATGTCTTAAAGGCTTAATATGAACATATAAAATAAAATACTTTGGTCAGCATTACGACAATATATTTATTCATATTAGTTCAAGTCATGTCAACTTCGATCCATTTAAAGAGGAGGATCATACTTAAACTTGAGTTCACTTTTGACCCACGCAGCATTCTCAAGCAAGAATTTATAAGCGCAATGCACTTGTCGGAGCACATGCAGGTAGTTCATATTTCATTTTAAATAACATGCGTGTCATTTTTTTTACTTGCATAATGTATGTTTGCATCTTTTTAGAGCGATATATTTAAAATTCAATTATTATTTTTTGATCCGTACAGCTTCCTCAGATATCACGTGTACATATGTCACACTTGTCAGGGCCCATGCAGTACTTCAATTTTTTTTTTTAAGATGTGTGCATTACAATAATCTTAAGATTTGTCATTTTTATAGCCCACACAGCATTCATGGATGTGATGCTTATGTTCATAGTGCTCGTTAGAGCCCATGCAGGTGCACGCTTTTCAGTACATTTTGTATAATGTAATCATATATTAGATAGTGTATATGCATGTCTCATTGTTGGGCAATACTATGATGTATTTGTGTGGGGAATTAATGCATTTGCACAGCGTATTTGTGTGGTGACATCCCCTTTCAATTATTTGGTGTATCAAGCTCAATTCAATTAAGGATCGTACAACCCGTGACACGTAACAGTGTACTATTTTATTTCTTTTCAAAGGCAACTTTTTACGGGGTGTATGGCACATTCACGGGGCATGTATGAGTCTCCTGACTTTAACAGCTGACGTGTACACTACCTAAAGCATTGTGGACCCGTGACTCCTCTCTTGTCATTTTGTACCTTGTGTTTGGTTTAGCAGGTATTATAAGGGAATCAATTTTATGGATTATAAATAGGGAATCCTGCTAAAGGAGTTGAGTGTGTACGTGAGCTAGGAGCTAAAAGGGAGAAGTTTTAGTTTTTGTATTGGCGAGCAATTTAGTTCTATTAGTTTGTTGTAAGTTCATTTTGTTATGTTGTGATTCTTTTGTTCATTTTTGTTCTAAATGTTTAGAACTTAGAATGTCATGAATTTTTTTTGACTTAAGAGTTAGGGTAGATTTCACTTCAAATCTTGTCTAGTCATTATTGTATTATAAATTTTAGTAACACCCGAGCGTCATCCTGGCGTAGGGGGCTGCATCGGGTGTGCTTAAGCCTTTTCCTCTACTAATAAATGCAGTCACGGTATGTGTCAGGTGATACTGTGGCCGAAATTTTTATTCCCGCCTACTAATAAAGGTAGTCACTGATCTTCAAGTACATGTTTATAAAGCATAGCATTTCTTTGCTCACTAATAAAAGTAGTCACAAGTACTTATTTCATGCATACAAATTTCTCTGCTCGCTAATAAATGCGATCAGGGGTACTTATTTTATGCATATAAATTTCCCTGTTCGCTAATAAAACGGTCACAAGTACTTGTTTCATGCATAGCAAATTATAAAATAGCTAGCATCGGGGTTATACCATAGATGCACGATGGAGGCAGCGATGGTGAGACAATGGTGACGAGACGTATGAGACCAGTGATGCACAAATATTATTTTTTATGATAATATTTTATTATATATATATATATACATATATTGCAATGGGGGGCTAGAGAGAGGGAAAGAGGGGATTTGGTCTGTGTTTTGATGGGAAAGGTGTAGGAATGTGTTTGTAGTGAGAAGGATAATGTTACAGAGAGAAAATCTCTCCCTCCAATTAGGGTTGCAAGAAAACCAAATGTTTGACGAGCTATTCGTTGCTCAGCTCGATTAAAGCTTGTTTGTGATCGTTCAATTAACTAAACAAACAAACTTGAACAATATTTAAAATACTCGATTCTTAAAAAAACAAGCTTGAACACTAATGTGTTTGATTCATTTATGTTCATGAACAACATCATTTGAAGCTCATGAACAAGCTCGACATTAAGCTCAATAAGAAACTCGATAAAAGCTCAATTCAAGTTGATTCAGAACTTATGAATAAGCTCGATTCTAGTCCATATTTGCTAGATTGTTTGTTTAAAATGTTCATGAATAAATATAAGATGAATCATAGATCACTTGTTCGTGAACGAGATCATTTGGTAGCTTGAAAAAACTAGTTATATATGTTCATAAACTTGTTTATTTGATAGCTCAAGAATAATCATTCGATATGTTTATGAACATACTAGTTTGATAATTTAAAAAAATTTGTTAAATATATTCATGAACATGCTTGATGTAATTGTTTGTTAGGAGGCTCGATAAAGTTCATTTGTTAAGTTAATGAACATCTAGAAGTAGAGCTCATTTATAGTTCGTTAAGGCTTGTTTGTGTAAAACTCAATAAGCACAGAATGAAGTGAGCACGAACCGAACATGAACCAAACATGAACACTCATTAATTTAAACAAACAAACATGAACACAAACAATAAAGCTCGAATCAAACACGAATCAAACTTGAACAAGCTGATGATAAATGAACTCAAATAGGAATACTCACATAATTGGCTCGGCTTGACTCATATGCAGTCTTACCTCCAATTTTAGAGAGGGAAAGGGAAAGGAATTTTTATTCTCTCTAGGTAGAGGGAAAAGAAGAATAAGGGTTGGAGGAGGTGTTTGAGATGAAGAATGAGGTATTTAAAAGGAGAAATTATGAATTTTCTCTCTATTTTTAGAGAGAAAATTTTCTTTCTAGGTCTAGAGAGAGAAAGTGAAAGATGATGGGGCTTGTTGATGGAGGCGTAAGTGTAGGGGAGGTTATTTTGTGAAGGTGGTATGAGATTTTGAGGTATAGAGAGGAAATTTAATTTTTAGGGTTAGGTTTTTTTTTTTGTTTTTTTGAGGGAGGAGGAAGAAGAAGGTGAAGGAGAAGAGAAAAGGGGAAGAAGAAGAAAAAATGAGGGGGAAATGGTGGAGGAAGAATGAATAAGAAGAAAATAGAGTTTGAGGGAGAAGAAGGAAATGAGAAGAAGAAGAGGAAGAAAAGTATAGGAGGTGAAGAAGTTACCTATGGTGGTGTTGGCAGTGGCAGGCTGGGCATGCATGAGGGAGAAACCGAGAGGGAGAGAGGCCATGCGTGTGTTTCGTGCATGAGGAGGGTGAGTGACTGGTCCGTTGAGTTATGAGGGAGTGAGTTTTATGTGAGGGGTATTTTAGGATTTAATTATTTAAATTTTAGATTTTTTATTAATTTTTTTGTAATTAATTTTAAATATAAAGTTGATATGGATTTTTTTATTAATCGTGCATCGGCATCATTGTCACATCATTGTTGTCGTTCATGCACGCTGATGCTGCATCAATTCGCATCTGCACAAATTTTATTTTTTGCCTATCGACAATCTCAATCAGTATTGGTGTCGTTCATAGTTGTTTATGTTGCTCCGGACACACCGACTCTTTGTTTTGCTAACGGTGGCCATTTCAGGAATTTAGGTTTTTTGGTTAACATGTGTCGGGTGAGTTACGCGCGACGCCGCGCTCTTATTTTTTTATTTTTTTTTTTAACTCATCTTGCATGGTCGACAGGACCCCGCCACTAGTATTGAGGTCAACATCCAAAGCATTCAAAATTAAATTCATATAGCTCTATAAAGTTAGTACATGTGTAATAAATAATACTTTTATTAAAGCCGATTTATTAAATTTGGAAATATTTGTTTTTCTATTTGCACTTCCATATCCTTCCTTACATTGATGACGACATCTTATTAGATTTATTTGAAACTTTCTATTAGCATGATCCAATTTGAGCTGACGATAAATCACTTTATCATCTTTTGTTTTTGGATCAGCAGTTGAGTTAAAGTTTTGTGGATCAAATATATGAATGACTAATATATTCAGTTTGAATAACTATTGCATATAATCCCAAAATCTCTTTTTACTATAGGAACTCGTTGAGAAGCTTAGCAGGGGTGATCTACCGAGGAACGAGTATCAATGCATGAATGATCCAAGCCCTTCATTCCATGGAACCATGAATACTGGATCAATTCAAGCAAATGACGGCCACCCCGCTCACTCTATGAGGTCCAGGCGTACTGCCACATGGGCTAGGCCTCGTAGTTCTGATGATGGATATTCTAGGTAATCACTTCTTCTAACACATATTCTTTTGTAGTCCACTATTTTTCACAATTTTATCCTACTTCATGGCATTAACTATATTGTTCCTTTGCAGCGATTCCGTTCTTAGGCATGCCTCGAGCGATTTCAAAAAGATGGGCCAGCGCATTTTTGTTTTTATTATTGGTGGAGCCACACGATCTGAGGTGATCATTTATGATTTTTAGTTTTACAGATTTATTTTTTTATTCACATAACTTGAGATAGCTTTTAACAGCTTCGTGTAGCTCATAAACTCACCACAAAACTTAAGAGGGAAATTATTCTTGGATCAACTAGCCTTGATGATCCTGCACAGTTTATTACGGTGAGTATAGGATATCTTCTTGCAATAATATACTTACTGAAATGTGATAGCGTCTTTTTCTTAGTAAGTTTGGCGTTGTTATTTGAGTTTAATGCCCAGAAAATTGTTAAAATTTATTTGAATTTAAAAATTTCTTATTTGGATCATCATAATGGATCAATTTTTATAGCTTTGTGGTTAAATGTTTTGTATCATGTTTGTTAGAATTATCACTCTACTATGGGGCTTATTTTAGTTTGAGTTGCCTTTGCGTTGAGTGACAAAATAAATTGGTAACTGGTGAACATTCATTCAGAACATTAATTCCTTTGTTTAATTGTAGATCGAAACAATGTCTTTTGTTTTTGAATATTTCTACCGTGGAATTTAATGTGATTGGAATGGTACGGCTAACTATTTGACCATTACTGATATGTAACTGCAGAAATTGAAGTTGCTCTCTGCTGAGGAAATTTCCCTGGAAGACATTCAGATCTAATTCATGCGTGCGTCTTCATTACCTTTTTACTCTTGGAACCCTAAATTTCTCATCCTAATTGCCCTATCACTCTATTTATCTCACTTGACTATTATTGATTTAGATTATATATATCTCACAATATTCATGATTAATTTAATTGTATCATCCGGTTAGAAGTCTCCATGATGTAGATAATGGCTTGCATGACTTAAACCTGTAAATAGTAAGTACATACATGTAAATGAACGGTGGCACCAAGTGTAGACTAGCTGTCTAGGTACATAATTAAATCATTATCTGCATTTTTTGTTACTTGTTATGTCAACTTAGTGTGAAAAATATTTTTATTATATCAGGTTCCCCTAAGTTATGCAGCATACATTGAATTTTTTTTTTTTGCTGTAAAGACAAATATGGTTAGTATGAATACTTTTACATACTTTTCTTAATTTGATTATAATGATTTCTCTTCTGTTATAATTCTGCTTTGTATCAGGCGGTTCGAGTTCTCCTCTTCACTTATTTTAGTCATTTTGGATGACACTTTCTATATTTATTTATATAAAAATTGGGGTTAGTTATAATATAATTTAGTGGAGTATATCGTACTTTTAAATTTTACTAATATAACAACATTTTGCAATAATATGTATGTTTGTTTGTTTGTTTACTACAAAAGAGTTTAATAGTGAATGAAGTTGCAATAACAATTATATAATTAAATAGCTTTTTTTTGTGCAATTAATTTAGGAGAAGCATTATTTAGAAATATGTGTATTCTCCTCACTTTTCAAATTGTTTTATTTTTTTCACTCCGTAAACTCTACATCTATTGTTTTAATACCTATATCAATATATATTCTTTTAGTTAATTTTCATGTAAATAAATTTATAGTTAATTAATAATAATTAATATTTTGAAATTTAATTTAATACCTAACATATAATCAAAATAGTTGTATTAATCTTAAAATTTTATTTCAAAGTTATAAATTTTAAATATATTTATTTATGTATATACTACCATCCATTCCTTTACCGTTAACTAATTAGATTTAAGAGATCTACTATTTCATAATTTTATGTTAGGTGGCATGATCATAGTCAGAGAGCGATGTAGGTAAGAAAGATTGTAGTCGTATGACAATTGTCTGAAGGACTGTAGTCGGGCAACAGAGGTCAAAATGACCGTAGTCAGACAACGGTAGTCGGAAGAACTATAGTTGGCGGGTGACGGTGGTCGGAAGGATCATAGTTGGCAGGGCAATGATAGTCAAAAAGATTGTAGTCGGCAGGAGATTGCTAACTATCAATTATCTTATCTAATAATTTAGAACATCTTCGGAAATATTCTAATATATAAATCTTTTGAACCAGTAGTCGATACCTTTTGCAACTTTACAACCAGAATGTATATCTATTGATCAGCACTTTTTTCCACATTTGCTCTAAATGAGATTATTTAAAATCAATCTAAGTAATAATTTGTATTTATAAAATTTAACATCATAAATTAGAAATATTTGACTGTAAATTGACACCATCAAAATAATTAGATAATAATGATTATAAAAAAAAACTTCAAAAGAAAGAAAAAGAACACAATTTCGGTTTAGCACTTTATTTGGTCTTACTTTGAGCTCTTCTCTTCGGACTCATTTAAAAGGTATTTGAACTGGCCTCCAATCCTGTCTCAACCTAGGGTTTCAAACGAATCGAGCTGAGCCGAGTAAATACTTATTCATATTTGAGCTCATTTATTATTAATTTGTTCAAGCTCGATTCAAGCTTTTCTATTTTCCGTCATTTATTTTAAAATACTATATTCACCTTCACATAAGATTTTTATGATCTACATCGTACTATACAATCAGCCATATTATTTAAATCTTAATTTGATTGACTAATTATAGGGATTAATTTAGGTAGTATTTTAAATATTATGCATTATGAACAATTCAAATTAAAATACTTACCTAAATCTGATTGGTGGCTAAGATTTCAATTTAAATGGATCATCTTGTATGATATTGTACATATAGTATAATTAGTTCAAAAAATATTAATTCCAAAATTAGTCATTTTAATTAATTTCTAATCAATAGAACTTATAGTACGATGAAGATCGTACAGTATGATCTACACCAATTCAAAAAATTTATTTTGCACTCATTGTGTGTATGTGCACGATTACTAAGTTAATATGCACCTTTACAAGACTTTTTAATCAAGAAATATCAAATATAAAATAAGTAAATGAAAATACAAACTCTTATAAAAGTATCAAACATATTCTACCCAGTCTTGATCATTTATGCCACGGTGTAAGTTGTACCTAAAATATTAGTGTGTACAAGAGTAGATATGCAATGCATATACTATGAGAAATAAAAAGATAATTAATAATATTTACTATCATCAAAATCACAAGCTCGAGATCTTGGATTAAAAAATTTGCCCCCTTTTATTACAATGGTAAATAATGTTGGTTGAATTTCCAAGTTAGTTGTATTTTCTCATAATCTCTCCCTCACAAAGTGAATTATTTCAAAAACTAAGAGTGAAAAAAAAATCATCATTTATTTAATAAAAAATTTATTTGTTAAACACATAACAATAAAAAAAGCACAAACATATGAAAAGAAAAATTAAACTAATTAAAATATCAACAAGTACAACCAAACCAAACACGTTTTCCTCTCTTTTGATATCACCAAAAAGGCGAGACAACTAATTAGAAAAGAAAGTACAACCAAAAGTAAAAAAAGAAAACATAGAAACTACACAAACACACACTAGAAGTAAAAGGGCCCATTATCAGGTGGTGGTTAGAAATATTGGTTAATGGCAAAAAATGGGTCGCTAAACTAGCTAAGCTCGATCTACCTCATGCTGCTATCGAATTTGTTAGTGGTGCTGCTGGAGCTGGTCGTACTGCTATTAATATATCTGTTGGATCTCCTGGTGTTGTTGCTGATGCAGCTCATGCTACTACTGGAAAAGCATGTGATATTAATGAAGCCACTCCCAATGATGAGTATCCTCCTAATACTGTGTGGCTGATTGTAACTTCAGGTGGTCAAGTCATTCCACGATCAAGTCGTAGGCCTAAAACTGGTGAGCAAGTGCTGCCACTAGCGTTGGAGCTAGTGGTGGTGTTGGGGGTCTCCCCCTGCCTCGTTGAACTTATATCTTCTTCGGGCTCGTCCCCTTCATGCCAATAAAAAAAATATGGAAGAAACCATATGAGTGGATAAATGGGAATATATATAAAAGTGCAGGATATAGAAGTTGGTATTTCGGATCTAAGATATAAGCTACTAGGTGTCCTAAAGCGATGTTCTGATTATGTTGGGTTGTGGTTGGCGAATGGGAGTAAAATTTTGAAAATAGCTAAGGATCATGTGAAATTCATCAAATAGAGTGCCAAACATGATGAATATGTGATGACAAATATAAGTCTGAGTGATATTTACTCTATCTTCAGCCTTAGGAAGAATATAAATACAAAGAATAAGCTAGATGATACAAGTATTCTAGTTAAGTGAGTGCATGAGAGGTTGGTGTTGATTTAAGGGAGTATTTCCAAAGGGTTGGATTGATAGTGGTTCAATTATAATCACTCTTAGATCTAAGTTATGTGGTTAAACCCCTTCGTAGAAAGATGAAAATATTTAGTAATGTCCTATTTGGTTATTTCTACAAGATGCCTATAGACATAGGAGTTCATAGAAAAAAAAAATCAATGCTCACTCTAAAGCTCACAATGAATTCAAAGAATAGTTCAGAGTTGAAGGGAAATGGTCTCTTAACATAGTGGTGGATACAAATAGGCCTATAATCTGATAATTGAGAATTGCTTGTTTAGGATGCAATAAGGCGTGATGTGGGCTCGTTTAAATGATGGTATGCAGATTCGTCCTCAATTTTTTGAAATCCTTCATCAACAAGATGACGAGAGGAGCTCCCTTGAAGCAAACGGGTTCTCTTGCTATCGGCCATATGAAAAGCTAAAGCTAGAACTAAAGTGGATGAGAGTAGAAAGGATTTGAGTGATTGAAACCTTTAGAAATCCCCCTTCTTTAATAGAGTTTTCAAACAAATCATACAGATGATGTATCAAAAAAAGTATTCAAAACATATGATACGATTAGGATTATTCTAAATGATCTTCGTAAAAGCGTTTGTCCTGAGTTGTCTGGTATGACCCTTAACTAAAGATTCGTACTATACAAATAAGTGTTCATACAGCACGAAGGCATTTTGAATTTCATACCGGCCAATTAAATTCATCCAACGGTTACTAACTCAATGATTGTATAGTACAAAAATATGATAATATAGCGCATTCATCAATAGATAAGTATTAATATCAAAAAAAAAAAGTACGTTCGTCAATTATTATAAGATATGGGTCATTGATTTCATGAGTGATGAGGATGTGCAGATTTGGGTAGTGTTTTATCTACGAACCCAATCTGCCTTCCCAAAATTTTCCTCGGAACTTAATCTGTTAAAACTCCCCAAAAGCACGGGGAGGCCGGGGCGTGAATTTTCAGAGGCCACGTTAATAAGAAATTCTCCAAGTAGATGCAAAAGCAAACTTCTAGAAAGATAGTGTAAATTAGACGAAACAATAATGACTTCCAAGTTTGCCCCCCTACAGGACGCTCAACGAATGCATTAAGATTTGTGTTCTTATCAACTAAAAGCATTTGATTACATACTCTTTAAAATATTGTAGTTTAAGATTTATAACTACAAACTTCTGTGAACTTAGTGGCGCAAATGAGATGGCATCTAAATGATACAAAATTGATGAATTTACCTTTAAAGCGTGGAGAGTATTTAATAGGCAAACAAGAAAAAACAGATAATTGGTTTAGTATTTTTAATTTATGATCTTCATTATATTACTAATACGCACCATGAAACAACTAAGCTTAAATGCAATTTGATAGAATAAGATTTAATTAAAAAAACAATAATGAACAAGAATTTAAGTGCAAGTCACAGACTTAAAAAAAAAAAAAAAGTGCAAGTCACAGACTTCAAATGACTAAGCTATACATTATAAGAATCGCATTCTTGGAAGAATATGATTAACTCAGGACATGCAGTCTTTGTAACTATAGAATTTATTATTTATTTTCCAAATGTCACAAATCTAAAGGAGGAATATAAATGGTGGAGGGAGCTTTCAAAGATAATTTGATGATGTAAATGCTTACAAAAACATTAGAATTAAAGTATAATGCAACAATGCAAGTTAACATTGATAAGGTTTTATTTAAGACCCAAAACATGGCAATGCTCAAATATGGTTGTCAAAGAAAGGGAAGCATCAATGCATGTTGGATGCAAATGTATAAAAAAATC